AGATTTCGGGATTACATTTTTATTTTAGATAGAGCTTCTGTGCAATGAATACCAGAACTTGAAAAAAAGCATCGAAAAAAACTACGTTTAACTCTTTCTCGTTGATATACGTCGATTTTTTTTCTCAAAAACGTTGCGAAGTATAAAACTCTACACTGCAAGTTCTACTTCAACGACTTCAATACAGATATGCCTCATTCAATTTTGACATTGAAGTTATTATGTCATCTTTTCTCGGTCAATACTATTTTACTGGCTTTACTAGGACCACAAATGGTAACAACCTTAGATAATTTTAGAAACTTCACGATATTTTCAATACTTCGAGACATGCCAAATACTGATCCCGTTCGAAATCTCATACAAACAAGTGCCGTCTGGAGTTGGTCTCAGCTGGTACCTATAGAAAATATCCTTTTATTTTTTGATAATGACAAATCCTGTTCTTTCATGCAGCAGTCCTACAAAAACATAACATGTCGAACTCTTTCGTCTACTGATTGCTTCGATGTAACTTACAAACGCCCTTATATTAAATGTGTTTTTGACTTGGCCCAACAATATAAGCGAACACCTATTCAAGTGTTTGTTAATGGTGATATTATGCTTGATGAGAGAACTTTTCATAGTATTGCTTTCATAAGTGGCCAGTTACAGGACTTTTTTATTGTTGGGTGTAGAAGGGACTACGAAATTTCTCGGTCGTTAAATGATTCTACTCCAAAAGCGATTTTGAGAGATGCTTTGATCTATGGTAAACTTCACTCAAAAACAGGCATAGATTTAATAGCATTTCAAGAAAAACTACCGATCCGCATGCTTTCGTTCATAACTGGTGTGTATCGATGGGATAATTGGTTGTTGAGCGAGATTTTGTTGAAAACAAATAAAACTGTTATTGATATCACTCAATCTAGCCGAATTATTCATTTACAGCCCAAAGCTAAAGAAAATCGTGAACCAATAGATCATGAACGGCGACCTGGTGCAGGATACAATGCTGCGTTGACAAAGAACGCTTCTGGGGACGATTTTATATTGGGATCCATTGACAATGCTCATAAAATACTTGTTGGTGATTGTCAAAAAGGTCAATGTCAATTGCAAGATAACCTTCACCAAAGCGAACAGATTCTAATAAGACGAAGAGCGAATGCCGATAACTATGTAGCGGTGCTCACTGTCAATAGTGGATACATGTCATTGGCTTGGAATTGGGTAAGTTGAAGGTGAAAATTTCTTCGTTGCAAAGAGAATTCGACGAGACAGCAAAAAAGAGCTCCTAGTCTATCCGGCGCATTGTCGCACATGGCGTACAAAAAACTCAGAGTACAGTTGTAGGATGTGTGTGATGTAAAACAAGAGAGGATTCACATCCAAGCCACATTTAGGACAAATTCAAATCAATCTAAGCTAAACTGCAATACTAAAGAAGTAGACAAATGCGGAATTTCTCTAGCACGAGTACGAATGCAGCGAAAATTTCGAATATGATTACTCCGAAACGTGTTTTTAGCACAGCTGCAGCACAATTATTGAGTATATACGGATACAATTTCACATAAGATCGAAAGAGAAAGAGATTAGCTATTTGCTTCTTCTTCGAAGGGTAAAAATATACATGTGGCGTCACTTTAGCATGACATATTTTATCTAAAAGGGTAAGTGCATATAAGGCAGTTTTTTTCCATCGAAACATTTCAATTGTTTTCAGTATCTGAATCAATCCAGTGACGATGACAGGTAAAATCTGCACAGATTTAATTGGAAACTTCTTTTGATCATTTTTTTTTGCGTCTCACTCTTACTTCTCTACAAGATCAATAAAAACTTGACCACTCTTCTAAAAGAATGGGGTGTGGTAGATTTTCTTTAAAAAACAACTTTTATGCCCCATTTTTCGAGAAGAAACGTGCAAAAAATATTTAAAATCCAGACTGGCCGGTAAGAAGTTCCCTACGGAACCGGATGGTTACTACTACTGGTTACAATTAAGTCTCATTTCTTCCGTATGGCAAGGCTTTGAGCTCTATGAGCTGCAGTCAGAATAACTACTTATTACTGAGTATGAATAATTTTCATCGTTTTATCGAAAACATTTCATTCTAGAAACTAGTAGAAGAGCACTACTAGGGTGCGTGTGAATGTCGGCCAGCTGCATCCACACTTTTATCAGTCAATCACCTGAAACGGATAGATCATTTCGTTCAAATCTCGAAGTTCATATTGAAACATGAGGTCTTTCGAGTATCGAAAAAGATAAAGTAACTTGAAAAGTAGTATTTGCAATAGTCTAATATACTTGTTGACTAAAAGAGCTCTGAGTTGCTAGGACTCTTTGATGGTGAAAGTGACTATGAGCGCAAGAACAGGGGTTTGCACTCGAGTGATCCGAGTGTTTAGTGCAAGAAGTCATCACTTCCATGTATCTTGAATCGATTACTTCACTTTTTTGAAGATAGATAGTGTATCCACAACATAGACGTCTTCATCTTGTGAATGAATGGATGTTAGTTTGGACATCACGAGCAGTGTAGTTGGGTAAAAGGAGAGAAAACACGCGCGCTCATTCACCGTCTAGCAGACCGATGAACGCAAACCTACCAACACCCATCCACTCACAAGATAGTCGGGTAGAATGGATACCAATGCTCAATAATAATTCTAATTACTTTCGGGTATTAAATTGCAGAGTTGCGGTTCTTTCGAAATCCTGACCCACATTTTTCTTCAAACGAAATTGTGAACAAATATCTCAAGATTTAAGAGATTTAGCGCAGAAGTTCTAAACAAAATTTGGAAAGAATAAGGATGCTCAACAGAATACATAATGCACTCAAAGGCAAAGTTTCAGTTTAATGAAGTGACCGTATTGTGGCTATTAAATACTAGTCTGACACGAAAGTCTTACACTCAATCATCAATAACTCATCTATGATGTGTCCAGACAGAGTAATGAAATTCCAGAGTTTGGCTCTTTTATCAAACTACAAAGCTACCACACTTACTTTAGAGAAAATATTATAATGAAGTTGCCCAATAGAGCATTTCTTAGTTTGAAGAATTATCGAAACTTATTGAAACATAAAGCTGCAGCTTTTCCATAAAAGAAACATCATTTTGAAAGTAAGAGAAGATGTCGAAAGACACTTGAGAACTGCTTCAATAGAGCTGCATCTTTTCGAAGACATGATGCTTGCATATAGATAAGGAGTTCCTCTATTAAAAGTTGGATGACGCAAATCAAACTCTAGGTATTTTTAATTTTTCCTCTGTCATATACACTATTGAGAAAATTTTTACTGAAAGATTGCTCGTGGAATTCTTTGGAAGGAATTCTATCACTATTTTATTGAATTATGCGAAACTGAGAAATTGTTTTCAGAATAAAATAGTAGGAACTTCAGATTCTTCTTTTAATTGCACACTGCAGTATTGAAATAAAAATTTAAGAAAATTTTCTATTGTTGAGAGGGCTCTTTCTTTCTCATCTCGTACAGCAAAATCAATTTGAACTGCAATAAGAAATAAAATGACTTAACTCTGAACATGTAGCAAAAAAAATGGAGTTTTCACTAGTTTTTAATTAGAAAACGCAAGAATAAACACAATATTCTAATGCTAATGAATAAATTGTGAACTAATCAGTTACCTTTGAAACAACGGAGTTACAGTTTTTTGAACGTATTCTGAGGAAAATCTTTTGTTTCTTTGAAGACTCAAAGTTATGACTGATGACTATCAGACTCATTGCAACGAGAAAACTTTTTCAATTCGTTCCCCATCTGTCTATCACAATTCGTCAGGCAGGCAGGATGATATTACTTTTCTCGCTCTATACTTCAACTCTTGTTTCTAACCATGCTCGGTAAAATAAAATCTACAAAAATGTTATGCAAAACTGACGCTGTCACATCACATATATTTTTTCGGAAAATATGAGTACAAACAAAGTTTTATAAGGTCTACACTATGGGTATTTCCGCTACTTCATCCCTTACATATTTGGTATGCGCTATCAAAATCAAAAAGTTTTCCAGTTAGTTGTTGTGCATTTTCTACTTGATATTGTGCAGCAAAACAGTTCTGTGACTTTCGTTAAGGAGTTCAACTTGAAATTTTTCAATAAAATTTTTTTCTAGTCAATTCTTCATCCGTTTCTGCCTGACATGTAAAGACACTAGATATAATAAACTTCAACAAGGAGCAATAAATAACGAATGTCTCAACTTTGAATGAGAATATCGAGAGACATCAATATTAATCTTGTCGATTTTTTTCGCATCTATAGAGCAAAAGCAGACTTGTTTAATTCCTTCAAGGTGAAATGCAGAAATTTCCTCGCTAATCTAAAAGACTAATAGGCTAAGAGAAGCGATTATGAAGCTTTGCAGTGTAAACTTTAAGCATTTATCGTATTCGAAACAAATCTATGATATGTTTTCAATAAAATTGAAGTAAATAGCAAAGAAACACGTTTTCGAAAAACTGCTTAGGAGCATCGACTGTAACGGGACCACAAGCGAAAACATTGTTACTTCAATTTTTTCAAGCATTTTTCTGTCTATTATTCCACTGAGTGCAACTTCATCGTTGATTTTTAGAATGGTTGAACGTTACTACGGGAATAGTTATTCATCATTCTCTAAAAAATCATATAGAAAAATCTGAGTTCCGAAAATATCACCAATAACGAGCTCAACAAATTGAATTAGTCTAAATGTGTACGTGTATTCTGAAATTAGACACTCTGACCTATCTATCTTTCGATGAGAGTATATTCATGAGATTATTCAATCACATACTAAGGAGTCATTCTAATATAGATATGTTGGGCGAAAAGAATAGAATTTCAGCACTACATTTTACTTGCTGAAGACCTGACAGCTTACAAGGCATTACGAGCTGTTGGTGAACCAGTCTTCATTTCATACACTCAGTCCTTGGGCACGAAAACAAAATCAGAATCGGAATACGGTACCTACAATTTCCAAATTACAATGTTATATCGTCTTAATTTTCTTATGCGCGTATTACACGCAGGCTACCACTTTCTTAGCGCTGATATGGACAGTATTTGGCTTTCGAATCCTTTCAAATATATCTCACATTATAAATCAATTACTATTCAAGGCCAAACTCACAAGAAAACAAAATTGAGTGGCGGCTTTGTTCTTGTACATGCTACAAGAGAAGGCCGTAGATTTTGGCGCGAAATCATTCTTTGCCAGCAACAGAATCTTGCTCGCATAAGAGCAGAAAAGGGTAGAAAGCGTATAATAAGTGATTTCACAGAGCAAGAATGCATCAACAATCGACTTCGTACGGTCAAAGTAAAATTACTGGATCCTGACCTTTTTCCGGATGGACGCTCTTTCTTCAATCAGCAACTGCCACAGCGTCGGGGAATCGTGCCTGTTGTAATTCATGGAAACTGGATTATTGGTTTGGATGCGAAAGTGCAACGATTTCGGGCGTGGGATCTTTTGGCCTCCATGAATAGCTCATGTGAATTAGTGGACAATGGCATACCATATCATCGATCCAAGCAAAAAGCTCCCATTCGACTTCGTATTCGTGTTCTCGCTTATAACCGTCTTCATAGTCTTCAAAGACTTCTTGAGAGTCTTCAGGCTGCGGATTACTTAGGTGATTCTGTTGCACTCGATATATCAATTGATCGACCGTCAACACAAGCTACTAAGGAAGAAAAACAAGTCTGGGAAAAAGTTGTTGCATATCTTGGCCATGGCGATGAAAATGCGTCGAACTTCCGGTAAGGCGAATTCTGTGGGTATATGTAAGTGTGTAGTTGGTCTGATAAATTGAAGTAACTAAATTAGTGTTCAGACATACTCGGCATGATTTCTGATCACTTTTTCGCTTAAAGTAATAATTCGGTTCGTTTACAAATAAGATGAAGACCATCATGACAACATATTGATGGCGTCTCTGTTCGAATTTAAAATGGATTGACATTTATCTTTAAAATTTTAAAGATTTCATGTGAAACGTGTTCAGATACGTTTCTGAAATGTATCGCATCTAGACGTTAAAAAATGTTCCATGTGAGATGCGTTTGAACGAGTTCGTCTTTTGCATGTTAGACGCATTTGGACCCGAAGACTAGTTACATTTGAATTCGATGTATCATGGTTGTTAGAAACGGTACTTACCGGAGAGAAGTATAATAATTTCGTTGAATAACTGCTCACTAATCAGTTGATACAAGGAACATCGAACAGTTTATCTTGCTATATCTAATCTTCAAGTCACTCAGATAGTGATCAACTGTCTGAAATGCTTGTAAACGCACTAAAAAAAGAAAAATGGTCCTTTACTTGTAAGAATTGGTACCACGATCACTAGCGAAAAACTGTCACGACTTTCTTCTCTATCTGTTTAAAAGTATTTTCAACCATTGCGACTGTCTGTGCAGATGTTCAGATATGTATGTACATGTCTAGCCTTCGAAATATCAAATTAGGTGCTTCAATATTCACAAATGTCTCGCCACATCCATGCCTTTAGTCAGATACCCGGAGGCTTCCGTGCATGTCCAGTTCTCTGATTGTTGAGGCAAACAACAAGCACTCCACACATCTCTATATGGAAATACCGAAACAAAGAATCTACTGTGGTAACGGCAGTGTTCAGATTTCCAAAAAAATGAATTTTCGGAAAGAGGGTGGTCGAAAATCATCGATTTTTCCTCGCTCTTGAAATACGATAAAACGAAAGTACCTTAATAGTATATAGCTACTCTGGTATTGGCTTCGAAAGATCTGGTCCTTTTTGTGGATAAAAACTTGAAAAACTTCGAAAATTTTCTGTATTATCTTAAGAAAATATCAGGCAACTAAGATTAGCTAAGGTACGATATTTAAACAATATTTGTCAACAAATTATAACTGCACTTAAGATAGATTTGTTATTTGCTAATTACATTTTAACTCAAGCTCGTATAAATTAATTTACTACCGGAATATTAATGCTCCTCTTTTAAGCAATGAGATTTATCTGTTTGTTTACTAGTAAATTCGTCGAAGATTGTAACAGAGAAAAAGAGAAAAGCTGAATAATTTTTTGCGCTGTACAAAAAAACCTGTTTTTTAATAATATATTAATTAGGATGCTTACATAGACTAAAAATAATTATTGATTTTCTAGATATCTACGTAATATATGCTATATTGTATCTGAAGCAATGTGTTTTTAAACCAAAAACATCTATTGGAGTTAAAATATAATTAGCAGATAACAAATCTGCCTTAAATGCAATTATAATTTGTTGAGAAATATTGTTTATATATCGTACCTTAGTTAATCTTAGTTGCCTGATATTTTCTTAAGATAATACAGAAAATTTTTAAGTTTTTTTAAAGTTTTTATTCACAAAAAGGACAAGATCTTTCGAAACCCACATCAGAGTAGCTATATACTACTAAGGTACTCTCGTTTTATCGTATTTCCAGAGTGGGAAAAATCGATCATTTTTGACCATTCCTTTTCACAAATTTCTTTTATATCTGAAAAATTTTCGTTAATGTTCTATGTGACTATCGAGTTACTGGAAATTTTGGTAATTTTGCTTTTTGAAAGTCTAAACATACCTCGAGCGTGTTACTTTTCTTAGACACTCAGTCTTGCTCGATACGTATGATACAAGTAGTAATACATTTATCATAACTATCACACTATCCTTGGTAATTACATTGTTTCTGATTCTTCGTTGTCATGTAGGTGGCAGCATGGCCCTTTTTCCGTTGCTGTTCACAAGCAACATATCGGTATTGTTGGGCAATGGACGTCTGGTACAAATCATTCGGATATGCAACTATTTCTTGAGGATGACCTTGTTGTGTCTCCATATTTCTATATTTTTGTGAAGAAAGCAATTAATTTCTACTACCTCAATGAAAGTAATTATGATAGTCGAGTTTTTGGATTATCCTTACAACATCAAACTACTGTGCCGGGACAGAGAACGGGCTTTTCTACTCGATCCATACAGAAAGAACTCAACAAAGTGGGAGCTCCAACCTTTTTCAAATATCAATTGCTTGGTAAGTAATGCAGCATTCACAATATGTCTATATTCAAAGGTTGAAACTTAGGAACATGGGGTGCCATTTTCTTTCCAAAACATTGGTTGGCCTTCCTGAAATGGCTCAAAACCGTGAATCTTGAAGATTTTCAAGCAGCATGCACGCCGGGAGGTCTTCTTTCAACCGAATGGTGGGTCGAACGACATCATAGAACAATGTGGACACCCTGGTTTATTCGGTTCGCTTTCGAGCGTGGCTGGTACTCACTCTACACAAACTTCCCCAATAAAAAAGCATTTGCCATAAGCTATCGAGAAGCAGGTCTAAACTTTAACAGGACTTGGGGACCTATGAATTCTCTTGTTACAAAACTTGAACCGTCTCTTCACTTCAATTTCACTAGCAAACTTCCTATATTTGACTTCCATTTTGCAAATATAGAGCAAGCAGCTCTTCTCGCCTTTCGATCAAGTCTTTGGCACCCAACTCACTTTGTCAATCAATGCTACGTAGATGGAAGCATAGCTAATGTTCCAATAGCACCCACTGCCAATGCACCACCGAGTACACAACAATATGAAACATTGGTGGGTCCTAATCTCTCCAATTTATCGATAAATCTTTCGAAGTATGTCAATTTCCGCTTATTCGAAGGAATGCAATTATTTCCACCTACTAGCTGTCTCAAATGGTCTGTATTATTCGAGTTCGTGACGGTTGTTCCTATTCTTTTTTTTGTTTTCACATGGGTATGTTTTGTCAATCGACGGCATGGTATGCGCAGGAGCGGGGCCAAGAGATGAGAAATCGTTAAAACACACTCTATTCCCAATAAGGAGTGTCGGTGTCTATCACGGCTATCATATCACAAAGTTCATCGAATGGGGTGTCTAGGACTTGAAATAATGTACATGTGAAATACGATTTTTAAAAAAGTGGAATAAAATGATCTGGTACACGAGTCTAAAATCAAGCATGATACCGGAAAGAAAATTGATTTGATAATAGCATTTTGTGAGTGTGAGTGTGGGTATGGAGTGTGCTTGTTGATATGACTGGTGGTGTGTGTTTATTTGTGTGATGGTAGTGGTGGCTATAGCCGTGAATGAGTTATATGTTAAGTGGTGTTGTGTTATATCTCATCATGCACTCGTACAGGAATGTTCAAAATTATATTCTGTAACCGATCGTCTAGCAATAAATGCTCCATACAACAAAAGTCGCTTTGAAAAACATACTATAATAATGTGTGTCGAAAAATCATATTAAACTTTAACTTAAGCAACTGTCTCTTTAAAAATAGTAGGGGTAACCGTTTAAAGAGCATGGATGTATTAAGTACAAAATTTTCTATAGCTTTATGTGAGACGTTTGACTTTGAAGGTCTGTGTTGAGCAGCAAGTGCTTATAAAAACTGATAAATTCTTTCAAAAAAGCGAACGCCACAATTAGATGATTGCATAGGTTGTGATATATTAATTTTTGCCCCTACAGATTATTCCCTTTATTTGGGAATTATTTACATAGAATTTTTGGATATGCGTGTGGTTATAGCATGAGAACAGAAAGAAGTCTTTCACACCCATGTCCCACTCAGTCTAGAAAGGAACAAAAGCTTCTATATTGTGCAGGGCAGAAGTAAACATTTTTCATGCTTGATTCTATTGCATTAGTTTTATTCTGAGTCCTGTGGTGGTAAAATAAAAATAATACAGATACTTGATTATAAACAAGCGGATAGCTTGCCATGTTCGCAATATCACATTGACTATTCTTATTACGACTCATCCAAACATAATCTTTGTTACCACACGTTTCGCCCCACGAATTCTTTGCAATACAATAATCTTCCTCCTTTGAGCCATTTTGGATTGTATCGTAGCCAACAACAACGAACAAATGATCAACGTTGGCTGACGAGGGTGTGGGTGGGTGTGGATATTAATGTGGCTTGCGAGTATATTACACACTCATATCCACACCCACCCACACCCACACCTACCCACACCCACCCCCACCCACACCCACACCCACACCCACACACCCCACACCCACATCCACACACCCCACACCCACACCC